AGTGCAAAGTGATGCTCTTAAACCATGTCCCTTACAATTGATTCTCTATGCTTCTATTATACATGACTACATGAGTAGATCTTCATTTTGCTCTACTGTCGGAGCACTTTATGTTGGATAATCTGTCAAATCCGTTTTGCTTAGTTTGTTGGAAGTTCATATATGCAATGATCTTTTCCCAAGTAGTAGTGTAATTTTTCAATTTGTATGGTGTTGTTTCTGGTGATATATCATCTGTTTTTGTTCCTTTTATTGTAGGAAGGGACTGTGAAGGCAAACACAGTGCTTGGTGAGATGTGATTCCTCCATTGGTCAATATCTAGCATTTAAATCATTGCTACTGTAATTACTCTTTGCATTTATAACTTGTTGGCAGCTGCTATAATGGGTATCTATACCAAGGCAATGACTGACGACGACGACAAGGAAGTTGTTGCTCAAGCTTGTATGGGCATTGCTGACATTATGAAGGATTTCGGATATTTAACTGTCGAGCCATGTAAATAGATAATTTAATTTAACCCCGTTTTTAAATTCATCCTTTTCTCTTAAAAAACTTATAAACTGTGTTTCTTAATTCTATTTTAACTGCAGACATTGATGAGCTTGTTAAGGCGACCTTGGTGCTGCTAAATGAGCAGTCTGCTTGTCAGATAATTGAATCAGACAGTGAGGTGGATGATGATGACACTGCACATGATGAAGTGCTTATGGATGCCGTTTCAGATCTCCTTCCAGCCTTTGCCAAGGCAATGGGTTCTCAGTTTGCTCCTGTATTTTCAAAGATGTATGATCCATTGATGAAGTTTGCGGTAATTCAACCATATCTCCATGCTGTGTATTTCCCTTCCATTGAGAATTTTCAACTATGTTTTGATTGAGTACAATGTCTGTACCTGATTTAGTCCCTCTACTTAACACTATTACTCAATTTGATCCTTAAGTTTTTATCAGTCTTAATTTGGTCATCGACTATAAGATTTGGACTATGTTTTGCCTTCATGAATTTGGTTCTCAATCAGGACATATTTGTGTTTCACTGAATTTTGACATGACTTGGCTATCAACTAATGAATTTGGGCCCAACTTGGCTTTTAGCGTATGTAAATACTCTTCTTAATAATAATTTGAATAAAATATGCATGAAAACTAAATTGAGCCTCAGTTAATTCACAAACCAAACTGATTCTTGAAGAAAGTCTATAGTTACAGGTCCATATAAACTATTAACTTTTTTGTGATTGCAGAGAGCAGCTCGTCCTCCTCAAGATCGGACTATGGTTGTTGCAAGCCTTGCTGAAGTCGCTCAGCATATGGGTGCTCCAATCGCTATTTATACTGATGTAAATTTAACCAACAGTTATCTATTTATACAGAAAATCTTTTTATCTTTATCAACTGTCTACATTTTTTTCACACATTTGTCATCAGTTCTGATTATCGTATCGTGCTTCAGGCTGTGATGCCGCTTGTACTCAAGGAATTAGCATCTCCAGAGCCAACGAACCGCAGAAATGCTGCTTTTTGTGCTGGGGAAATGTGCAAAAATGGTGGCGAGTCTGCTTTGAAGTATCCTTGGTCTCTTCTTGAGTTTCTTTTGTAGAGAGGGAGGGGGTACAGGATTTACTTATTTTCAAGGAGTAAGTGCTATGAACGGGAAGTAAAGCACTTTTATGCTGAAAAGAAGTTTTTGACATGAAAATAAAAATGCTTATAACAGTAAATGCCACTTCCAATCCATTTAGGATAGCTTATGAACAAAAAAACACTCTTCCAAATAATTTCTTATCTAAAAAGCATCAATTTGAACAATAATAACATCAATGTATTGCTTTAAGCATTTGGGGGAAAGGGCTTTATGTGTACCAAAAGCCATCCCGAATGGGCAAGTTTTTCAGTAAAGCACTTTAAGTAATTTAAGCCACACCACTTGCGCAAGCAGTATCTTTGGAAAGTTGCTTTTAAGCCTTAAGCTTTAAGGAGGTTTAAGGCCTAAGCCTCAATTTTTTACATAAGTCATATTTAGGGGTTTAAGACGTAAGCCTCAAATATCATAAGTAATTTTTTTGAAGGGTATGTTTTATGATTTTTTGTCCTAAATAGAAGAAATTGCCAAAGATATTGATTTTTAGGGGCAACTTGAATGAAAGAAAAGAAGTAGAGAATCTGTTCCTTTTATGTTTTTGTGATTGTTCATATCAAAAGGATAAAAGGGGAAGAGAAGAGTAGCAGTAGTAGCTTAGTGCCTATGCTCTGCTCTCCATGACTTTTCATACTTGCGCAGGATTGAGGAGAAATTGGTAGATTAGTGAAGCAAGTGAACTTTATAATTAGAGTTGTGAAGAGCTGAAGATAATTGTTGACTTCAGCAAATAGGTTCAGGGCTTTTGCTTTGCTTAGAGACTAATTAATGAAAAATAATTGATCCAATATAACTTCTGAATACAAGTATTAAGCCAAGACTGATTTAAAATTTAGCTTCTCAAAACACCGTCCAGGGCTTACACCTCAATTCTTTCACTTGATACTCGTTTTCTTTTTATATGCCACATTGTCACCCGTCTTTTCTTTCCAATATCATTTCCCTTTTTCTTTTTTTGGATGGGTGGGTGAGACTTTTCAATCTTCCACACTGTTCTTGCTACATCCGTGCTAGATACTACGGAGAAATCTTGCGTGGCCTATACCCTTTATTTGGAGAATCAGAGCCAGATCATGCAGTTAGAGACAATGCTGCAGGTGCAGTAGCTAGGATGATTATGGTGCACCCAGAATCAATCCCGTTGGATCAGGTTTACATCTTTGGCCTTTGTTTTATTTTTTGTTTCTTGCATTTCATCCTGATAGTTTTTTTTTCTCCTTTCTAAAACTGTGTTTTTAATTATAGGTGCTACCTGTTTTCTTGAAAGTGCTTCCCCTTAAAGAGGATCACGAGGAATCAGCGGTTGTATATAGCTGCATCTGTAGTCTGGTTTTATCATCCAACTCCCATGTACCCGTTCTCCCTTTCTCTTCAGTCTTACCTGAATTACTCTTATTTACCCTTGTTTGTAACATCTTGTTTTCTTTTCATTATCCAGATCCTGGCCTTAGTTCCGCAATTGGTAAACCTTTTCGCACAGGTGGCCGTTTCTCCAGTTGAAACCCCTGAGGTCAAGGCTCATGTTGGCAGAGCATTCTCTCACTTGTTTACCCTTTATGGTCACCAAATGCAGCCTCTTTTGGGCAACCTTTCTCCTGCACATGCTAATGCCCTTGCTGCAATTTCCTCTAAAAGCTGAGGCCAGTTGGGGCAACTGTAAACTATGTCTTTTGCATTATATCACACAACCAGGTTTATACAGGTATGCATTCAGATGCTCCATTCATTCATTGAAGATAAGATCAATATTTTGGTCCCTCAAATATTTGAGATTATGCAATGTAGTCCTTCCATCTCAATTTGATGCAATCCAAACGCTCAATTATTGATGCCAAGAACAAAGTACACGCACACTGTACACCTACTATTAATTTATGGCAGTTTGTACGGTACCTCTAAAGTATCGTACCTTGTCCGCATGAATCCATCAAAATATTATAGTTTGAACATACATAAATGATGAAATAATTACATGGACTAATCATATGTATTTTAGATACGATACAATAACTTATTAGTGAGCTACCGTTCCATTCACTTTAATTGATATGCAATAAAATTTATACTACCTCCGTCCCGAAAAGGTTTGCCAAATTGACTTTTCTTGGTCAATGATGGCAAACTTTGAACAATGATTTTAGTTATTATATTTGTATACTACTATGAAAATATTTTCAATCAGGAATATTTTGATATAATTTTCATATTCTAAATAATTTCGTATTAAAGTATATCATTGGTGAAAGTTGATTGTCATTGACCAAGAAAAGTCAATTTGGCAAACCTTTTCGGGACGGACCGACGGAGGGAGTATTTGACAACCAGAATTTGTATTTATTCTTTTTGCTGGCTTTGCTTTCTCTGTTGCAGCTGTCTCGGGTTTTCTTGCGTGGAGCTGTTCTTGATTGCCAGTTTTGATACAACATTTTTTTTTAAAATTCATTCTTTCTTTTCTTCTTGATGTGTGTTTAGTACATACAAACATGTACTCTTTTCTGAGGGTTTTATGAGGTTGTTGATAGTTCTATATTTATATTTGTTAAAATTAATAACCAAGTGTGTAAATTTTCCGTTCATGTGTGATCTTCAAACTTTCATTGATTGAGGCAGGCATAAAAGCATTCTTTTAAATTATGTGTTCCATTCATTATTCATTTAACTCAGAACCAAATTGAGTTTGGAAATGAATCAAAATTCTTCACCAATTCTTTCTTTTCTTCTTGATGTGCGTTTAGTACATACAAACATGGTCTCTTTTCTGAGGGTTTTATGAGGTTGTTGATAGTTCTATATTTATATTTGTTAAAATTAATAACCAAGTGTGTAAATTTTCCGTTCATGTGTGATCTTCAAACTTTCATTGCTTGAGGCAGGCATAAAAGCATTCGTTTAAATTATGTGTTCCATTCATTATTCATTTAACTCAGAACCAAATTGAGTTTGGAAATGAATTAAAATTGAGTTTGGAAATGAATCAAAATTGAGTTCATGGACATGAAATTGTTTTTACGTAGAACCAATATGAATAATGGCTAATTTGGGTTTAAATTCATTAGCCAAGTGCTAAATTAATCCTAAATTTGTAATAAAAAATGTCGACCATAATAGCCAATAGTGAGAGTTGAAGGCTTGAAGCCTTGAATGATTCAGTTCGTAATTAACTCTGTTTAGAATAATGGCTGAAGCATTGACTCGTCTTTTGGAACGAAGGTAGTAAAACATTGATGAGGTTATACTTCTTGCCCTTGTAATATAGTGATGTTTTTTTCTTTATGTTAGCTGAATAAAAATTGTTCTGTATCAGTTTTCATTGAATATACCTTCTTTCTTTGTCAATTTTCTTTTGTGTGAATCATTATTATAACTATAATTATAATAATTGGATTGACTCTGAGTTGCGGTGATATTGGATGGTAAACAAATCAAATTACATGGATGAATTATATGCATTTTAAAGAAAGGAAATAATTTTTCAATTACCTAAGTGTCTAAAACAAAAGAAACGATATTTGCACAAACTCATAGCACATTTCAACAAACATAATAAGTATACTAGGTAGAGCTGGGAGCCCAAAGAACAATCAATCTTGGAGTAGGACACGGGAAACTTCTGCTCTCTGCTCATCACTCAAATGGGTAGGAAACTCCACCAGAAACTTAAGCCTAAGATCACCTCTGTCACCATCAAGACTCTTGGGTTTGGGCATGCCATGGCCCGGGATGGTCTTCTCATATCCGGGATATATGACGTCTTCATCGTCGAGGTTGAGGGTCATATTCTCGCCCCCCAACAATGGTACGGTTATGGTGCACCCGGTGAGAGCTTGAACCAAAGGGATTTCAACCCCTAACACCAAATCATCACCTTCTCGCTTGAAGATTGGGTGTCTTTTTTCTTCAATCACGAAGGTGATGTCGGCCGGGAGCATTCCTGGCTTCTCATCTCCCTTCCCTTCAAATGTGATCTTTGTTCCCTTTTTCCATCCTGGCTTCACCACGATTGTCACGTACTCCTCCTCTTCAACTATTAGCCTGCCATAAAAACGATCTTTGGTTACATCGTTTTTCGACTCATGTAACAAACTTTTTACCACTATTATTACGATTTACGAGTTTGTAACTTTGCGTGCTGGATTGGGGAGTGTTTGACATGGAGCAATCATAATATATTTATTTCACCTCTGATCTAATGTACTTCCTATTTAATTAGTAGTCTTAAAATGCAAGGAAAAGTCCTAGCTATAGTTATTAATACTTCCTACATCCTAATTACAATTATTGTTTGAGGTTTTAATGGTACAATCATAATTTTCTCTATAAAAAACACTCACATATTTGTACGTACCCAGTGTTGGAGATGACCTCTCTTGTAATCTTGACCACCTTAACACGTCCATGGCAAAGCTCCTCAAGCGTGCACTCCAGCTTCTTCTCCACTGGCGGTGGCTTTCTCCGAGCAATCGACTGCGAGAAAATTATGGGTGGCGTGTTGTTTCTTTTGCTCGTTATTTTTGAAAGAAACGCCGGGTCCGCCATTGTCGGCGTGGAAGGCGCCGACGACGACGAGGGGGTGTTCGCCCCGCCGCAAGAAGTCGATGTAGATCTTTGCATGTGCGCGTAAAAGTCCATTGGCGTCGGTGTCCTGCCCCTCCGACTCCCGCTCTTTGACATTTTCCGGCTGACTTCCGACGGCACGATCCGACTCGTCGTCCGAGACAGGAGCCTCGGGCTAGAAATCACAAATTCTTCTTCTTCTCCCCCGTCTTGATTATTTGAAGACACCTTTCCGTGCTCCGTGTTTTTTGGTGTCTTGTCGTCTTCAACGTCCGACGTCGACGTCGTCGTATTACACGCTTCTTCCCTCTTTTTCATACTAAGAACCTGAATTTAATCATCACACACAGGAATCAGGTAGGGTTGAGATCATATTAACTAATAACCATGTAATTAAATAATTAATTAATTAGATTTAACTCAATCCAATCCGTTCCATATAAAAATTCATTTCAAAGAATGGAAGAAGAAGATATAATGGATTACCTACCCTGCTTGCAATGGAAGCAATTAGATAAATGATTAATGTAGGTAAATTCATTAGACGGCTCCAAATAACACAAATGTGGCCGGGCTTCAATTTTACATTTGAAACCCGAACCTCCAAATTCATTCCATGGTTCTGAATAATATAAATGAATTGATTATATACGTAAGTACCCTATAGGCCTCATTAATGGAGGTAAACTTGGCCTGGGCTTCGTCCCGGTTAGAGGAATTCCGGTCAGGGTGCCATTTCCGGGCAAGGCATTTGTAAGCCTTGCAAATGTCTGCAAGTGACGCGGTTTTAGAGATGCCCAGAATATGGTAATAAAAGTTTGTCGTCCTTGGCGATTTTGGTGGATAATCTCCCATGTGCATATATGCTATGCTACCGCCCGGATTTCTGCTGGCTCTAGCTTTCTTCCGCCGTAAGCGGTGGTGTTGTGCGGCGGAGATCGATAATAGACGATCACATCATCATGTATAGCTATGTATGTAAGAATATATATGGGACGGGACGGGCCGGACGGTGGCAATAGAGAGGATGAAGGTATTACGCATTAAGACATGTAGGAATTGATCTTAATTAAAATTAAAGGAAATGCTCATTAGGATTTCAGATGTACATCTAGACATCTCTCTTCCATTTTAGTAAATCATTTTGACTTTTCTAATCAAAGTTTACCGTTATTGACTAGACACATTCACACGTTCACAATAATCAGATAGCCTATTTTTTTGAAAGGGATAGCGTAATTGAAAATAGGAATTTTATCAAGGAAGGATAGATGTATTATCAATCCGGGACCTGGAAGATGAAATGTATCCGTATAAGACTTGAAAAGTAAAAAACTATCAATCTAGGATCTAACATTTCACAGGTTTTGATTTATTTAATTTTTTATTAATTCCATTGCAAATATTTGATGTTTTTTTCACAAAAGTTAATTAGTTTAATATAACGAAATATTTTTTAAATTTTTTAAAATAAAAATACTAATAAAATTTATGAAAACTTAGGTCCTAAATTGATAGTTTTTAATTATTCGGGTCTTTGATTGATAATTTTTCATCATTCGGGATCTATACCTATACATTTCATCTTTCAGATCCCGAATTGATAGCTCTTCTATCTTTCAGGTCCCGAATTGATAAAATTCCTTAAAGATAAAAGTTGTAAAGATGTTCATACATGAGCAATTAATTCCTACATGCCCCTTTTGGTGAAACATTTTTATCTAGTCAATGATTATAAACTTTGATCAATTATTTCAATTAATATTTGTGCGAAACTTATAAATTTAAGGGGAATATGACAATTTTCAAAATATGACCATGAATGATTCTTTCCCAATATATAACTAGACACGTATGATTATATGAAATGAAATAAGAAAAGGGGAACTTCTAATGGTGTTAATACATGCCTCGTGGTGTGAATACATGTTATGTGCCTCTAGATGTTATGTGGCGTCAATTAATACATGTTATTTATAAGTCATATTATGAGAAAAAGAAAAAAGTTCTAATCATACGTGGTATAATTTTCTCTAAATTTAATATTTTTATGATAATATTTTTAACAAAGAACATTTTATATTATTTTTAATATAATAAATAATTTTGTATTCAAATATATTATTAATAAGAGTTTAAGATCATTAAAGAAATTGCTTTGAATATGAGTGAAACAATTGATTAACTTCAATACTACTCTCTCTGTCCCAAAATTATCTTCATAGTTACTATTCACATGGTCAACTAAAATTACTCTTAATCTTTTACTTTATATATCAAATTTTTGTATCAAACTTATATTTTCTTGATCAGACTTTATAACGGATTTAATGTAGTTTCTGAATATGTAAATTTAATTTACTAAAAATAATCTGAGTGTGAAAAGAGATCAAATTGCTGTATCGTTAGTGAAGCATCGTAAACCGAACTATGAAAATAAATATGAGACGGAGGGATAATACATATGTTTTCATTTCTTTCCCTAAATAAGAATAAGTACCTTAAGTTCTTTCCCTAAATAAGAATAAGAATAAGTACTTTAAGGGCATCTGCCATGATGGTATCTAAAAATAATCTTTTTTTGTGATTCTTACCTTTAATGTGATTCTCGATCGAGTCTCAACCATCATCATCAAAAAATATGATTTTTTTGGTCCTGCACTTAATTTCTACCTGTGTGTCCTATATTGCAAGATACAGGTGTGTTTGGTATGAGTTCGAAACAAATAAGTTCGAAACAAGTAAAAGATATCCATAAAACTTTGTCAAGTTTGACCAGCACGAGTATTAATGAAATAAAAATTTGTGTGATTGAAGTTTGTGCAGATGAGAGAGAGTTAACTGGAACCACAAATTCTTTACTTAAAAGGGAAAGTGACAAAGTTAGTGGGACATCCAAAAAATGAAAGTTGACAAAGTTTTAAGGAACGAAGGAGCCGGAGTATGATAGATAAAAGGGATAAAGTATGAAAGTAAAAAATTATTGTTGTTCAATTTAAGAAAATGTTCATATTTTTTGAACACAAGAAAGTGAATCCTATAAAATGGGACATAAGGAGTTGTGAAACAAATTTTAAGTATTTACTTAAAATTGATCGCAAATAATAATATATGAGAATATTGGGTACCATCTCTAAATATAAATCATTTGATTTTTCACCTGCAATTTGAAATAAATGTAATTAAATAATTTAATTTAAAATTAAATCTTTAATTCTTCAAATATTCACGAAAAATTGGCATGGATATTAGTAGTAAGGTTTGTGAGGACTAATATATGACTACATCTTAATTTGGACGAAAATGTAACTACATCTTAATTTAATGCCCTCCTAATAAATGTTGAATTCCTAATTTTAGAATGAATTTCCATCGGCTACACCCATCCTCCGCTTAGAGCGGCTATGCTTCCGCTTCTCATAAACACATCCACTTCTACTCCAGAGTAAATCGGCATGGCATCTCCACCCTCTGCAACACGCATCGCTGCAGCACTATGTTGAAGAGTCATTAGATCTAGCAGCATGAAGGCGCCTATGGTTGCTCTGAGTCAGATCTCTCGCCTAATACACACCAGATGCATTCTTTAATTCAAATCAGCGGACCAGTGTGCGGATCTAGTAGAACACATCTCCAGCGATGACTTCATGGTGGTGGTACGGCCAAGTTTATTGGAGCGGCGGTGATGGGGCAGATGTGTTTGGTTTAGGTCATTAAGGTAAGGGTGTGTGGGGATCCATGAAGGAGATGATGTGGTTTGGCCGGAGAGCCAGATGTAAGGTGAAGGAGTCACTGGATGATTTGAGGCAAGAGTGTCACTGTGCGCGCCGACCGACACAGTCGCTGAAAGGGGTAACTGATCGAACGGTAGTCACTGAAATCAGGTGTCAGGTTTCACTGAATGTGAACGACGGTTGTCTCGGTGTAGAGTCACTGAACATTGTCGGTGGTAGAGTCACTGGGCAGTTACCGGCCAATATAGTCCGCCAACATAGTCACTGGACAAGGGCTGGAGTCACTAGAGATGTGTGTGGCGGATGTGTTCCGGCAGTGATGCCGGCGGCTGCGATACTATCGTCTGCAGCGACAGCAGTGATTGCGACGGTGATATTGCCGGCGGTGATGGTAAAGTGGTGGTTGGGTGGCTAAGAACAATTTATTGCTTCTTAATGATTATGATATAAAATATTATAAAATAAAAATCACAATAAATGTATTATGTCGTATTTAATAAAGCAAACAAAAGCATGTTCATGGTTCAGTCATGTTTTTGGGAAATTGAAAACAGTCACATTTTTGTCTTTCTTATTTAATTTAGTAATATTAGTAAAAAAGGCCAATATTCAAATGTTCTTCTAATTTTCAAATCTTCAAAACTTCATTCCGTGTATCTTCAAATCATCAAAGATTTGTTCTTTGAATCTTCAAATGTTCTTGAATGCATAATTCAGCTTGAAGGGCCTCGCGTTTTCAAATAGATTGATCTTCAAAAAAAGGATCATTTTATGACTTGATCTTCTGTTAAAGGGCTTCTCCGGATATATCACTTGATCTTCAATTGAATCTATATTCAGTCTTCATATGAATATCTTCAAATCTTCAAAGACTCATTCTTAAGATCTTCAAAGATTTGTTCTTCAGATCTTCGAATCTTCAAGCTTCGTTCTTCAGATTTTTGAATGTTCTTCTACTTTTAGACTTATTTTATCAAGAATCAACGAAATCACAAATGATTATTCGTATATTCTTGAGAAAATTCGTGGCTTGATCTATACCTCTTCTTCAAAATCCTTTAGAGTCTCTCGGGAGTTCTTTAGAGCTTTTCTGCAGCGGTTCTCTGTCTTGAAGTTCTCTCTTCTATTCCTCTCAATTGATATGCTTTAGGGTTCCAAAATTCGTCCATACCTCATGGGCCCTAATTAAAATGGGATTCGGGCTTCATTTGCTTGTATTTTAATATTTAGAAAAATTAGCACATGTGTAATGTATCTAGCAACCTTTTTAAAAAGATTCACAATTATTTTCCATGCATATGGACAAATTTCTTAACCAGGTTCATTACTCTCTTATGACTTGGATTATGTCTCTTATTCATTGGGTGATTATTTAATAATTGACTCAAAATAGATAAATTAATAGGACCGGTCCATTTTGTTACAAATTTAATTTATAATAAAATTAACTGGACATTTAAAAATACTCACATTAATTTAATCACTAAATTTATCCGAAAGAGTTCAAATTAATATTTCGCTTTTGATAAGACGAAAAGCGTTCACAAGCAGTCCCGTAGAATCTAATGTTGGCACAATACATTCAAAGGAGACCCAATAAGATGTAAAATAGCCTGATGACATTTGAAAGAGGCCCAATGTTCATCACAATTGGTTTAATAATTTCTAAATATCCACAGGAGTATCTATGACACAATAGCAGACACATGAATCCTAGATAAGAGGGGTGACAATATAAATAAATACATACAAATACATATTAAAATTTTGGATAAATGTACGTACAAAAAATGTGTGTGGGGGACCCCATTCCCCCCTTTGGATCCACCACTGCTATGTCATGCACTTCTCTAAAAAAATGCGGATTCATATTTTGATCCTAATTATTCTAGCAATTAATCTCACTATCTAGTTAATTATATTTTTTTAACACTGCTAGTAATTCATTTTTTATTGTCAAACTGAAAGCTTATATTAAATCAACAAATCATTTGCCACGTGATTGACAATACAATCAGGAATAAAATTAAAGTTAACACGTTGATTTGAGATAAAAACATGTGCTCGGGCTAATGCATGAGCCGCATGATTCGTCGACTTTCTACAAAAGAGACATCAAAATTACTCTTTGTTTCCAAAATCTTCCATATATCATCAAAGATCAGATGTAAGTATGACAATCCTTCTCCTTTCCTCAGACCCTGCACCATTGTAAGAGCATCCGTCTCGATCACCACTTTCTGCCAGTTTGCCTCAACTGCACACACAATAGCATCCCGGACGCCTAAAGCCTCTATCTCCTCAACCTACCATTCAGCTTTTGTTTGGGATTACTTGAGCCTTAACAAATTCTCTTTGTTCTTCAAATAATCTGATTTTTTTGGTCCTACACTAAAGTACCACATGTGTGTCCTATATTGCAAGATACAAGTGTGTTTGGCACGAGTTTGAAAAAAATAAAACCTTAATTGATTTTTTACAATTATAACATTCAAAAGGTAGGAAAAAGTAAGAGATTTCCATAAAAAGTAAAAAAATGATATGATGGATAAAAGGGATAAACTATGAAAGTACAAAATTAATGTTGTTCAATTTAAGAAAATGTTCATATTTTTTGAACAACACACAACCGAAAGTGCATCCTATAAAACAGGACGAAAGGAGTATCTATGACACAGTGGTGGACGCAGGAATCCCCGACAGGAGGGGTGACAATATAAAAAAAATACATACAAATTAAAATTTAGGATAAATATACATAAAAAATGGTGGTGATGGTGGTGGTGGTGATGGTGGGGGGGGGGGGGGCAGCAGCCCCCATTTGCCCTATTTGGATCCGCCACTGCTACAACATGTACTTTTCTTAAAAAAAATCCCGATTCATATTTTGATCCCAATTATCTAGCAAATAATCTCACTATCTAGTCAACAAAAATGTTTAACACTATTAGTAATTCATTTTTTTATCGTCAAACCGAAAGCTTATGTTGAATCAATAAATCGTTTGTCATGTGGCTCACAATACAATCATGGATAAAATTGAAGTTAACACGCTGATCTGAGACAAAAACATGCGCTCGGGCTAATGCATGAACCACATGATTCACACGCCTTCTACAAAATGAGATATCAAAATTACTCTTTGTTTCCAAAATCTTCCATATATCATCAATGAGTAGATGTAAGTATGACGATCCTTCTTCTTTCTTCAGGCACTGCACCACGGTAAGAGCATCCGTCTCGATCACCATTTTCTGCCAGCCTGCCTCAACTGCACACACAATAGCATCTCGAACACATGAAGCCTCTGTCTCCTCAACCGACCATTCCGCTTTGTTGGAGACTCCTTGAACCTTAACAAATTCTCCTTGTTCATCTCTTGCAATCAACCCCATGCTCTACTCTGCCCGGACTGGTTTACCGCCGCATCAACATTAAGTTTCAGGTATCCCCGCTTGGCGGCTTGGGACGTTGCCATGTGGTCACCCCGTTGCTGCCCGTCTCCCTCACCAATGTCGGCAATGAATCTACCTTTCTTGTCTTGTGCCTCCCTGCAGCCCGTGAACATGCTCGCCGCGACATGGAGGACTCCACCAGCTCCTCTTGTTTTTGGTCTTTCCAAACCATATTGTTCCGTTGCTTCCAAATACTCCATAAGATAGAGATGAACCTGCTTGGGGCCTCCATAGCTGGGTGCTCCAGCTTCTGTCGCAGCCACGGCTCAACTGAGGTCTGCTCCCTCTCGGTCTGAATCCCAATCAGCTGCCAGACCTCCCCCACATGAGTGCAATACCGGATCGTATGGTCTGAACTCCTTAGATTCCCCACACAGTTTGCAGCCTCCCTGAATGCTTACTCCCTTCCTCCTTAGATTATCCACCGTTTTGGTAAGGTCCTATCCAACACCTACCAAATAAAATATTTGAAATTCGAGGAGAACCCAGAGCGCCCAAACTCGTCCCCACCCACTCCAATTCCCTACCTGCATGTCCCCGATAAGTAATTTGTAACAACTTTTGACTAAGAAGACTCCACTTTTATCACTTGTCCACCAAAAACCATCTTTCATGTTCTGCAAACTAATAAGAATACTCATAATTTGAGCCCTATCAGTCGAATTAAAAATTCCACTGACCCTCATGATTCCAATGTTTTCTAGTAAAATCACGCAAGGCAGCTACATTCACATTAGTTGGCCGCACCGATGTAATTGTCCGAGAGCCCAATCCTTGTAACCATGAATAATTATTTCAAGTTTCCCGAGTTCTAGTTTCTTAAATGCTAATTTGGGTAATAATCTTCCCCACTAATTTGGTCGCCCAAATTCCCCTGCAAACTAATTCTTCCCCGCTAGCACTGGCAACCCCAGGTAACGACTTTGCCCTCCCTCCCTCGGAATTCTCAAGAACAAGCAGCAATAATCTTTGAAAGTCTCGCCCACATTCTTGCTTAAGGTCAAAGAAGATTTATTAAAATTGACCATATGACATAGACCTGTGGAATATTTTTCACAGTTGCACGCTCATATTAGTTGCTTTAAAAAATAGAAAACTATCATCAACAAATAATGAGTGAGACGCCTTGGCGCCCCTCTACAAACCGCCACCCCATACACCTCCCCTCTATCTTCAGCTTGTCTCAACATAGCCCTCAAGCCTTCCACCACCAAAATAAATAAATAGAGTGATAGCAGACCCCCCTGGTGCAACCCACTTCGTGGCATAACAGATCCAAAAAATCCTTGTCAAACTGGACGTAATAGCTAACTGTGGAGACACACATCATGATTATATCCACCCATCTGAGGTTAAAACCCATGCGCAACATAATTTCCCTCAAGAAATCACAACTAGCTCTCTCACATGCTTTGCTCATGTCAACCTTCAGAGCCACATGCCCCTCCTTACTAAAGCATTTTTGTTTCAAATAATGTTGAGTTTCAAAGGCCACAATAATATTGTCAACTATTAACCTACCTGGATTAAAGGCACTTTGGTTCCCCCCACTAACCCTCCCAGAATACCTTTCACCCGATTAGCTATGACCTTTCAAAAAATTCTATAGACTACATTTCATAGAGCTATCAGTCTCCAATCTTCCATATTTTCAGGCTTCCCCTTTTTGGGTATTAAAACAATATTTGTGACATTTAATTCACTAGGAAAAACCCCCGTTTTGAGAATACATGAGCACAGACTAGTTACCTCAGGTCCCATAATATTTTTTTTTTGAAAAAAAGCTGGATTCATACCATCCGATCCAGGTGCTTTTTCTGGGTGCATATCAAAAAATGTCTGCCTTGACTTCCTCCGGACTGATCGATCGCGGTAACCCCAAGTTCTGTCCAGCCGAAACTTGTGAAAAGTTTCCCAAACCTGCTAAGTCATGTCTCTCAGTCTCTTGCTAAAACAAAGTCTCAAAATAATCCTTCACAATGTCTTCCAGCTTTCCCATGTCCGTGACCCAGGTGCCATCAGCCATGCGCAATCCCATTATCTTATGTCTCCTTCTTTGTTGCTTCACCACATTATGAAAAAAGTGAGAATTTAT